GACAGGCCCTCGGCAGGCCCTCGGCAGGCCCTCGGCAGGCCCTCGGCAGGCCCTCGGCAGGCCCTCGGCAGGCCCTCGACAGGCCCTCGGCAGGCCCTCGGCAGGCCCTCGGCAGGCCCTCGGCAGGCCCTCGGCAGGCCCTCGACAGGCCCTCGGCAGGCCCTCGGCAGGCCCTCCGAACGCCCTCTCGGTCACCGTCTCGGGCCGCCGTGCTTGCCTCTGGTGCTGCCTCCTCGCTCCTAATCGCCGTCGGCCGTCATTCATTACGGCGAGATTTGCGTGATGGCAGAAATGGGGGGGGGGGATGGAAGGAAGGAAGGGGAGGAGGAGGAAAAAAAGGGATGATGATGGAAAGAAGGGTGGGGAGGAGGAGGAGGAGGAAAGGGCAAGATGATAGGGAGGATGGGGAAGAGGAGGAGCAAGGGAGGAGGAGCAAGGGAGGAGGAGGAAGGATGGAGGAGAAAAGGAAGGCGGAGGAAGAGGGGGCGAACGAGAAAAGAAGGAAGGGAGGAGGAGGTTAGAAGGAAGCGAAAGAGATGGATAGAGAAATTAGGAAGGACACAGGGTTTGAGAGGCGAAAGGTAAGAGGCAAATGTACGAAAGAGAAAAAATAGAAGAAAGAAAAGGACGGAGGGGCAAAGTGAGGGCTTTTGTTGTGGTTAGGGCTCTCACAAACAAGGGTCAGGATCACGTCCTGCGCGGAGGTCCAGCGCCGTCGCCGATCGTCTGTCTTTCTGTCTGTCTGTCTGTCTGTCTCATACCCCTTTGCCTCACGCATACCTTGGCTTTTCTGTACCCAAGCGGCATTCCGCGCTTTAACAACCTCTGTAGCTTACATATACTCACATAGTGAACAACGCATCACAAACACACACACACACACATAAACACACGCACACACACACACACATAAACACACATACACACACACACACACACACACACACACACACACATAAACACACACACACACACACACACACACACACACACACACACACACAAACACACACACACTCACACACACACACACACACACACACACACGCACACACGCATCCACTCCCCTTTTCGCTCTCTCTCCCTCCCCCTCTCATTCCGAGTACGACCCCTTCCCCCCTTCTAAGACCCCCCCCCATCCACCTCAGCCTCGACGACCCCGACCCGAGACGCTGAAGCTCCGGCGGGATCCGACGCAATCTCGGGGATTACGTTGGGGAGAGGGAAAGGGGGGGGGGGATCCACGGGGAGGAAGGGCCAAGACGGAAATAGATTTATAAATATATTGTCGGAACAACCAAGAGTACACACATTCGCATTGACATTCACGTTCACACACACGCGCACACACGCACGCACGCACGTACACACACACACACACAAACACACACACACACACACACACACACACACACACAGATAGATAGATAGATAGAGAGAGAGAGAGAGAGACAGGAGAAACTGAATGAAAGAGTGAGTGCGTGAGAGAGAGCTAGTGAAGTCCATGCACGAAAAAAAACACGCAACTGCAGGCGCTGCATGTCGACAAGCCATGCGCCGGGCACCGTGCATGGTCGTGCAGCGTTTGCCGCCCGACACATGCCCATTCCTATGACATTAATGCTACTCCAATCAGCGCCTCACGCGCTCTCCCGCGCGCCCGCACCCGTCGCCTTGCCTCGGCGCTGCCACCACCACGGGCGCCCGGGCTCCTACCCCGCCCCTGCCTCTGCCCGCACCGCCTCCTCCCGAACCTCCTCCGGTCCCCTTGCCCACCCACGGCCCTAACCCCCCCACCCGCCCACCGCCACTCGTAACTCAACACATAAATCAGACGCCTCCCCCCCACGACCAGCTCCCCCTCCCCGCGCCCCCGCCCGCCCGCCGCCGCGCAGCCACCCTTTGCCAGTCCGCCCCTCTCGCCTCCGCCTCCCTACCCCTCCCCGCCTCCTCCCTTCCTCCCTCTTCCTCTCCCGCCCCACCCGCCGGCCGGACGGAACCAGTGGTCGCTGTAGCGGGTGGTCGGGCGACGGGGTGAGGGAAGCGAGCGCCGGGCCATCCGCCGCTCGCTCGCAAGGGCAGGTCGAGGCAGAGCTTGTGAGGAGAGACGGGCGAAGGAGCGGCGAGCCACGAAGAGGAGGAGAGAAGGAAGCGACTTGGAGGAGAAGGCCTCCCGCGAGAGCCCAAGGGGCGCGGAGGAGGGGTGCGGACGCCCGTATTTGGGGCCGCGGTAATTGCTCTAATAAATGGCCGGCGTGGACACTCGCGATCCTCGGCCGCGTCTGGCGGCTCGGCGGCGGGGGCAGAGGCGTGCGGGCAAGGAGCTGAAATGGCACGACGCGGTATGAGACGGGGCACAGAGGTACCCAAAGGCCCAGAGAGGCGCAGAGGCGCGGGTCCGGGGGCGCGGGCACGAAAAAGGCAGAGTCTCAGGGTTCCAGGAGAAGCCGAGGCACGGGCGGCGCGGGCGGCCTCCGGTGGCGTGAGCGGAGGAGCCTAAGGAGCTGCTAATGATTTTCGGAAGCACAAAACACCTATTGGCAAGGCGTGCACGAAAAGGGAGGATGCGAGTGCTGCCGCGAGGAAGCTTTGCGCTAGGAATATCCACTACGGAGGCGCTGTTAGGATGTGGCAACAGCAGTTACCAGTGAGGTATCTTGCTGAGTTATGGGACACCGTTAATGTTTTAAACTGGGATTTATACAATGTGCTGTGACACAGCACTATTTGGCTTTGTTTCTGTGACGTCAACACTTCATATGCAAGCGCTGAACTAAGCTCTACATCAATTAGCATGTTAACTTTCTTATCCGAGGGGCACATCTTCCCCCTCTGATTTCCACAGTTCCCATAGGAACACTCGGGGTACACAAATGTTTCGAATGAAATATACCGACAAATAACCAACCATTTTCTAGTTCTCCTTTTTAAAGCCAGATTTGAGGCAAATAGCATGGCGTGCCTGTAATGGCCAGTAATTCTTGCGCTTCACATGCTGCCCTCCAAGGGCGCGGGAGACAACAACACAGGCAGCGTGGCTTCCATGTATCCGCCAGGGAGCTCAAGCTAAATGGTGCCCAGAGCGAGGCCGCCAAATCCGGCCCTGCGGCTCCGGAGGCACAGGGGCCACGCTGCGACCTCACGTAGCCGACCAGGGCCTTGCGCAATGTAATGATGAAACAATGCAAGAATTATGGCAACAGAAGTGCAATAAACAAGCACGCAGGCGCGACTTTGCATCTGTACTTAGAGTACGCAGTTTGCGTGCCCGCGAGCGTGCGTGCACAGAGGCGTGCGTGGCCTCCGCTCCGGCCGCGGCGAGGGCAGGACCTCCGGCCGCGGCGGGACTGCCTCCGCCGGCGTGCCCGTCGCCCCGCCCGCCGGATCAGCTCCTGCCCGCGTCACGCGCACCGCCACCCTTAAGACTTTAAATTATTAGGGAGATTAACTTCGCGAAGCCTCGGCGATTTGCATATTAGAGGACGCACGGGCTTCATATCGATTCGCCAATGACATATCGCGGCCGCCAAAACCGCGAAATGTTTGGCTGGAGCTGCAAAACAAACTGGCCGCTGTTGGGAATCAATATACGGAATTGCACGCTGACAGCTTTCTCTCTCTCTCTCTCTCTCTCTCTCTCTCTCTCTCTCTCTCTCTCTCTCTCTCTCTCTCTCTCTCTCTCTCTCTCTCTCTCTCTCCGTCTCTCTCTCTCTCTCTCCATCTCTCTCTCTCTCTCCATCTCTCTCTCTCTCTCTTCCTCTCTCTCTCTCTCTCTCTCCGTCTCTCTCTCTCTCTCTCTCCGTCTCTCTCTCTCTCTCTCTCCGTCTCTCTCTCTCTCTCTCTCCGTCTCTCTCTCTCTCTCTCCGCCTCTCTCTCTCTCTCTCTCTCTCTCTCTCTCTCTCTCTCTCTCTCTCTCCTCTCCGTCTCTCTCTCTCTCTCTCTCCGTCTCTCTCTCTCTCTCTCTCTCTCTCTCTCTCTCTCTCTCTCTCTCTCTCTCTCTCTCCGTCTCTCTCTCTCTCTCTCTCGTCTCTCTCTCTCTCTCTCTCTCTCTCTCTCTCTCTCTCTCTCTCTCTCTCTCTCTCTCTCTCTCTCTCTCTCTCTCTCTCTCTCTCCGTCTCTCTCTCTCTCTCTCTCCGTCTCTCTCTCTCTCTCTCTCTCCGTCTCTCTCTCTCTCTCTCTCCGTCTCTCTCTCTCTCTCTCTCTCTCTCTCTCTCTCTCTCTCTCTCTCTCTCTCTCTCTCTCTCTCTCTCTCTCTCTCTCTCTCTCTCTCTCTCTCTCCTCTCTCTCTCTCTCTCTCTCTCTCTCTCCTCTCTCTCTCTCTCTCTCTCTCTCCCTCTCTCTCTCTCTCTCTCTCTCCCTCTCTCTCTCTCTCTCTCTCTCTCTCTCCCTCCCCCCCTCTCTCTCTCTCCTCCCTCCCCCCCCCTCTCTCTCTCCCTCTCTCCCCCCCTCTCTCTCTCCCTCCCTCTGCGTCGTAAACTTATTGACAAGCTAAAAATCCATTTTCTTTAATTCCATTTGAGAAACTCCTCCCGAATAATTACAATGTCAATATTTCTCTTTCATTCCGCCTCCCAATTTCGGAAGAGCGAAGGTCGGAGAATGTGCGAAGGAGCGGAAAGAGAAGGACATTTAGGAAGAGGAGGAGGAGGAGGAGGAGGAGGAGGAGGAGGAAGTGGAGGAGGAGGATGGAGGAATAGGAGGAGGAGGAGGAGGATGGAAAAGGATGGAGGAGGATGGAGGAATAGGAGGAGGAGGAGGAGGAGGAGGACGGGGAGGGAGGAGGAGGATGGAAGAGAATGGAGGAGGATGGAGGAATAGGAGGAGGAAGAGGAGGAGGATGGAGGAATAGGAGGAGGAGGAGGAGGATGGAGGAATAGGAGGAGGAGGAGGAGGATGGAAAAGGATGGAGGAGGAAGAGGAGGAGGAGGAGGAGGAGGAGGAGGAGGATGGAGGAGAGGGAGGATGGAAGAGAATGGAGGAGGATGGAAGAGAATGGAGGAGGATGGAGGAATAGGAGGAGGAGGAGGAGGAGGATGGAGGAATAGGAGGAGGAGGAGGAGGATGGAGGAATAGGAGGAGGAGGAGGAGGATGGAAAAGGACGGAGGAGGAAGAGGAGGAGGAGGAGGAGGAGGAAGAGGAAGAGGAGGAGGAGGATGGAAGAGAATGGAGGAGGAGGAGGAGGGGGAGGATGGAAGAGAATGGAGGAGGGTGGAGGAATAGGAGGAGGAGGAGGAGGAGGAAGAGGAGGAGAAGGAGGAAGGGGATAATTTAGGAGAAAGGAGGAGAAAAGCACTTAAGGAAAAGAGAAAGAGGCAAGAGGAAAAAGGAAGACTTAAAGGGAAGAGGAAAAGAAGGAAGCGAAATCCATTTCATAAAAGGACTAAGGAAATGAAACAAGACAATAAAGTAGAAAAAGAAGTGAAACAGAAAGTAAGGAAAATTAACAACTGGTACCAAAGGGGCAACAGAGGAAGCCCTGACTAACCTGAGGGGGGGGGGAGTAAAAATAAGGAGAAGAAAAGAAAGCGAGAAAAACAAACGAGCAAGGAGATGAGGCCGCGGACGCGAGCCGACTCGCCGCAGGCGGCGACGCCGGCAGGAGACCACGCGGTAAGTAGGAGGGAAATAAAAGGGCAGAGTCAGCCCTGGCGACAGAGGAATCCGCTGCCGCGGCGTACTCACCATAGTGGAACATGAGCGACGGGTGGTGCGACGGGTGGGGCGGCAGGAGGGGGGACGGCGCCCCCGGGATGGGCGGCGGGGGCGGGGGCGGCGGCGCCTGGGCATCGGTGAGCGACGCCCCAGGGAGGGAAGGCGCCCCGCCTATGAGGGACCCCACGCCCAGCCCCCCATAGCGGTGGTAGTCCATGGCGCGGCGGCCGACGGAGGCGACGAAGGAGGGAGCACGGCAGTCGCCCTGGCGGAGGCGGCCCTCGATGCCGACGCTGCCCGGCAGGGGCGCGCGCGAGCTCTTTCCGCTCGCCCTTCCTACGCTTCCTCTCCTCTTCCTTCCTCCTTCTCCTCCTTCCGGACGACGAGATCGGGGGCGACGGGCCTGCCACTCAGGGTACCATGGCAGGCTCCGCTGGCGCGCGCATTCTATCCGTCTTCCTCTCGGCGGCTCCCTCTCTCGCCCTCACTTCTCCCGCACTGATCTAAGCACTTTCTCCCCGCCGTGCTTGGGGCGCACAGGCGGCGCGCGGAGAGCAAAACACACAACAAACACACACTTGGAGCAACACCTTTTCTCTTATCTCGCCCTCGCGCCCGTAGCCCCTGCGCGGGCGCTCGGCACACGCCCGACTCACTCGAGACTGGCACTCTCACGGCTCACATGTTGACACACCTGCGGGGAGAGAGACGCTCATTAGGGGCAGGTAAGCGCGCGCGGCTGGATTTCATTCCGGAAATTGAAGAGGCCGAGGAGGCTCTTGGTCTGGCGAAAAAGAAGCAACGGAAGAGAGGGGTGGGGGGTGGGGGGGAGGGAGGGAGGGAGGGAGGGAGGGAGGGAGGGAGGGAGGGAGGGAGGGAGGGAGGGAGGGAGGGAGGGAGGGAGGGAGGGAGGGAGAGAGAGAGAGAAAGAGAGAGAGAAAGAGACATAAATGAAGAGTGAAATATTGTCAAAATAACTGAAATGCATTTAACATATATCATTAAAACTGAAATCAAACGTCCTGGACAAAGAGTACATATAACAATTCACTTAAAAAGACGAAAGTGCCCAGATTTGTTTACGCAAAACTATAAGAGTAAATATAATCAATAATAATTATCAAGACCTTAAATATTATGAATTACAAACAAACTGTCACTCCATTCTTATATATAAAATGTATGATATATATTACATATAATATATATGATATATAACACTCCATCCGACACTTCATACAAGAAACAGGTGTCATAGAACTTCCACGGTGAACAAGAGTTAAAGGAAGTCTATGAACAAGTAAACTCCCTTCCTTTTGCCTCCCTCGCCCCCCTCTCCTTCTCCCTGATTTCTTCACCCTCTCCCCCCCTCCCACTTCGCCCTTTCCCCTAACTCCAATCTTCCCCCAAATCATCCTTTCTCCGTCTTCCTCGCCTTCCAACTTCCTCTTCTTTTCCATCTTCTTCCTTTCCTTCTTTCTCTCCACCTTGCTGCCTTCCTCTTCCTTCCTCTTTATATCCTCCCTTTCTTTCCCTCATAACTTCTCCTTCCCTCTTCGTTCTGTCTTTCCCTCTCTCTTCATCGTCCTTCCCTCTCCCTCTTCGTCCTCCTTCCTCTCATTTCTCCCCCTCACTTATACCCTTTCCCTACGCTTCCTTTCTCTTCCTCCTCCTCCTCCCTCCTTTCTCCTTCTTCGTCCTCCTTCCTCTCATTTCTCCCCCTCACTTATACCCTCTCCCTACCCTTCCTTCCTCTTCCTCTCCCTCTCCCCCCCTCCCCCACCCCCACTGCAACCACACACGCGCGGATCACAAACGAAATACCACACAAAGACCTCGTCCTCTCT